TAGCCACATTCATCCCTCAAAATGCCAGACAAAACAAAATGACTCCACTAAACAGGCCCTATCTCAGGGTCTATATTGATTGTACCTAAGGCTTTCTTTTCAAGCACTCAAAATAAATTACCTACAAGTTAGATATCTCTGCAATTCTGCTCCAAAATATACACAAATAAAAGAAGACTGCGAGATGTACAGGGTCATCCAACGACGACCGAACAGGGGCTTATTTTTGACGTTCCCCGTTCCTGTAGTTTTGAAAAAATTCAAAATAGCCATTTCGCATATTTTTTTCTGAAAAATTCAAAAATGTTACCAAAAAATCATTTGAACCAAAAACCAAAGAGTTACGCCATGGCTGAACTGTTTTTCAAATGGAACATCTTGTTTATTATATAATTTCTAGGGAAAGTCGCATTTTAACGTCTATTCTTTTGAAAATATTTGATATTCCGATACCTATTTTTATTTTATTTTAATGTTTTATCCTTAATAATTTTAGCATCACCTGTTTAATACATCTGTGATGGCGACAAAATATGTCAAATTTCTTTTGACTTTGAACAAAAGGTGATTATACTTCTATCACCTATGAACCTATTAAATTGAAAAGGAATAGCTAAAAATTATTGAGCATAAAACATTAAAATAAAATAAAAACAGTGGAATATCGAATATTTTCAACAGAATAGACGTAAAAAATGCGACTTTTCCAAAATTCATACAAGAACAGGGTGTTTTATTTGAAAAACAATTCACCCATGGCGTAACTCTTTGGTTTTTGGTTCAAATGATTTTTTGGTACCATTTTTGATTTCTTCAGGAAAAAATATGCCAATTGGCTATTTTGAATTTTTTCAAAACTACAGAAACGGGAAAGGTCAAAAATAAGCCCCTGTTCAGTCGTCGTTGGATGAACCTGTACATCTCGCAGTCTTCTTTTATTTGTGTATACCTATTTTGGAGCAGAATTGCAGAGATATCTAACAAGTTGTAGGTAATTTATTTTGAGTGCTTGAAAAGAAAGCCTTAGGTACAATCAATATGAATTATTGTGAAATGACTTGAAATTGTGATATTTTCCATATAACTTTGCATTGGGAGATAGCAGCAGAGTTAGGGACCACTCCAGCTGCCGGCAACATGTACTTTCCCATTCTTTAGGATCACAGGAATACGAATTTGAGCTTTTTTGCCAGTCCTCACATTTTGCATACTCAACTACTTGTAGCGCCTGCTCTATTATATCATCGTAATTGCGCCCCCTAGCGGACATCCTAGAAACTTGAAAATAATTTCCATCAATTTCTCTTGACCGATTTAGTCAAGAAAAAAAAATCCCGAAGCCGTAAGGTCTATGGTTTCCATAATATAGTACCTGGCCGACCTTAGTGGGACACCCTGTATATTGGAAACTGTGCCTAGGCACATTTCACCCTATTTGAGTTCCAAATGGGTCCAAGTGTGGTTTATGGGGGTAAAACAAAAAAAAATTAAAAACTGGAATCATAACCTTTTCCCAAAATTACGTGTCCTATTGCGACAGTTTCTTCAAAACCAGATGTATTGAAAATTGTGCCTAAGCACCATAGGTACGTTTGCTGACTTGCAAATGGGTCCAAGGGTGGTTTTAGGGGGTAAAACAAGAAAATTAAAAAACCAAAAATATAAATTTTTCCTAGAATTACTTGTCCTGTGACATTTCCTTCACAGTCAGATGTATTGGAATCTGTGCCTATAGGCTCCATTGGCACATTTCAGAGCACCTTACTTGACTTGCAAATGGGTCCCAGGATGGTTTTAGGGGGTTAAACAAGAAAATTGAAAAAATCAATTTTTTTCCAGAATTGTGTCTTGCGACATTTTCTTCACAACCAAATGTATTGAAACCTGTTGCTAGGCATCATAGGAACATTTCAGGACACCTTACTGGACTTGCAAATAGGTCTAAGGGTGGTTTTAGGGGGTAAACCGAGGAAATTGAAAAACTAGAAATATCAATAATTTTTCCCAGAATTACGTGACTTGCGACATTTTCTTCACAACCAGATGATTGGAAACTGTGCCTAGGCACCAAAGGCACATTTCAGGGTACCTTGCTTGACTTGCAAATGGGTCCAAGGGTGGTTTTTGAGGGTGAAACAAAAAAATCGAAAAACTGGAAATATCAATTTTTCCCAGAATAACGTGTTTTGCAACGTTTTCTTCACAACCAAATGTATTGGAAACTGTGCCTTCTTCTGGGAAAAATTGATATTTCTAGAATTCCCAATTATTTCGTTTTACCACCTAAAACCCACGCTTGGACCCATTTGTAAGTCAATCATACCTAAAATCTGCCTATGGTGCCTAGGCAGTTTTCAATATATCTGATTGTGGAGAAAATGTCGCAAGATACGCAAATCTGGGAAAAGATGATATTTCCAGTTTTTAAATTTTTTTGTTTTATCCCCATAAACCACCCTTGGACCCATTTGGAACTCTAGTAAGGTGCCCCAAAATAAGTCCATCGTGTGTAAAAGCAGTTTTCACTCCACCTGGTTAAGAAGATAATGTGAAAAGTTCCGTTCGTAAGTGGGTGAAAAATTGATATTTTAATTCTTTGTTTCCCTTCGAAAACATTTACTGGATCCATTTGCAGTATTTTCTTGTTCACCTTTAATAACTGGATTAGTTTTATAGAAAATATATGCATAATATATCAACATCAAACATAAACGACGCCACTGATTTTTCGGGTAGACTCGGGAGTCAGGCTGCTAACTTTTGACTTCACGCCAGTGAAAATACTGACCTCATCCAAAGATACCAGAACCTGACCAGCAGGTAGGTATACATTGTTTGTGTTCGACAAGCTCAGTGAAGTGAAACAGTTTTTCATAATAAAATAAAAAATATATGTTGAGGGGATTGAGCAAATTAAGTTATATCCAGGGAAATCAATACATTGTCACATAATATATGAACGTTTACGATGATTATTCAATCAGAAACGTTCCTTTCTTTATACTTATTCTACATATAATTTTTTTTTTAGAAGGAATACATGTTAACTCGTACCGCTGGATTCTGCGTGGAGATAGCCAATGCCAATTATATCTAAGAACAACGAGGCCGCAGTTATTGCTAGCCATGTGGGGAGTGTAGTGTACTAATTGTAAAAACACTGCTATTACTACAACTTCCCCTGGAACTAGGCCCAATGTAATGATACTATGCAACATAACCTTGCAGTTAGATATTTTTCCAAAATTTAACCATTTTGCCGTAATAGCGATCTCTCTTCCTCAAGAAAACTCCTCGTATAACAGAATACCCTACTACCCTATACAAATATTGGTTCTAGTATCGCAATATTCAAATTTAAATTCGGGACAAATTGAATTTGCAACATCCAGTATTTGGTGCTGTAGGTACATTGTCCTTTTACCTGAACAAAAACTAGGAAATATATTTGTCTACGTGTCGGAAGTTACATGCAATCAAGCCTGTATGCAAATCTAAAGTGCCAAAAAAGTCAACAACAATTTTGTATAAAATAAAAAAATTCCATTTAAATAATAACAGTTCGCTCAGTTGAAAATAATTAGCCTCCTATTTTTTGTATTTTTGATGATTTTATTGAATCAATGGTAAATACTCATAATATATTGTATTTTAGTTAGGTACTTTTTTGTTTGTGTATAAATAGCATTATTATCTGCTTGTTTAACCTTAAAAGTTGAAAAGTCAAATATTATGTTAAAACTTTTCCCAGAATCTACAGTTTCTTTCTAAGAATTTTACCTGCTTGATAACAAAAAAATGAAAATATGGATTATGTTTTCCGTGCTTTTTTTCAAGTTTGCATTACTAATCCAGATCACCCATTATTGTCACTGTTACTATCTACTCCGTCTCTTAGATATGTGAAAAGGGATTCTTCTGTCCTATTTTTGCAACTTCTTTACCTATTCTGCCTCTGACTGTAATTTTTTTCTTTGTCGACGTAGGTACTTAATTTTCTCTTCTTCTATTATCGCTACCCCTACCCTGACTTTTTTTTCTCTATAGATACCTGACCAATGTTTCAGTTTCGTGATCCTTCACCATTCTTCGCTTTTGTAATCCATATTGAGTTCCGAAAATTCCTTGTTCCTAACCTTATTACTTTTTGTTCCTTCCTTTGTTCCCTTATTCCATTTCCATTATGTGAACACTCGCTTTTTCATTTTCTGGTCTCCTATATTTTGGCATTATATCGTGTGAAACTTTTAGACGATTTGCGTTTTCTCCTTTCGAATATCCGTTTGGGATCCTATCTAATCCGCTTTTTTACTGGTGCCAGAAGTATTTTAATATTATTCTCCATGTTTTCTGTCCCAGCTCCAGTCTTTTCCGTCAACTGTAAGTTATTAATTCACCTCTAGAAGTTGCAGAAGATATGGATTGCTTATAGTCCGAAAAATACTCCTCGTCATCAAGTTTTGCTACTGCAGTTGAAAAAGTGATGATTAAATCCGAAGAAAACAGGATTTGGGACCAATGAGAACCTTACTTTGCACTACAGTAGATCATCGATTACCCAGGACAGATACTGTCACTTGATAAAAGCAGGCTGAACAGCAAAAATGGCACGAAAAATGGATGTGGCATACCAAAAACATCGATAGTACAACTTCATATGACAATTAGCTGTTAAATGCTGCAGTAACAGAATGATAATGCCAATGCCAATAGTGTCTCAACTTTAAATTTTGATTCTAACGTTTAATTTACCCTATATTCAATCTTCCTGTGAAAACTATGGTTGGTAACGAAAAAAGAAAAATAATAAACAATATATGCATCTGAGAAGTGAAGAGCAACACTTCAACCTTCAACAGATTCAGAAAGTCATGATACAACTGTCAGACCTGCTAAAACAAAATGAATTCCGAAGCATTAAAGGATTTTTTTGAAATTAAGCGGCGAAGAATGTAGTGTGATTTCCAATCATTATTCTCTAGACATTATGGAATTGTCAGTATCACTTCAAGCCGTTTAGTTCAAGAAAATTTTATCATCACAAAAAAAAAAGGCGTTGGCGCTTGAGATAACTCGAAAAACTTCGACACAAATTTCTCCTAGGAAAATTTTCTGTTCATGGCCTTTTCTCCAGCCTCTGTCAGTTTATATCACGATTCCTTCAGGGTAGTTGTTGACTAAGAATATTTGGAAGTTTATCCCCCGATACCAGTTTTTCTTTAGGATCAGTCATGTCATTACCCAATAAATAATCCTCTGGCTTCAATAAAAATCCCACAATATTCTCAAAATTTTCTTTTTCTCCTCTGATCGGTATTTTCCCATAACTAATGATTTCTGTCTAGGGGGCAAATCTATCAATACGAACTAAGATATAAGTAACCTCAAAAAGCCTTGGATCCTGGTTCCACGTCTCAAAAGACATTCAGAAAAAGAGAACAAATTTTGTATGTTTAAATTTATTCGGAAACATAAACTTCCAACTAATATTTGCTTTTTGATTAGGTTCCTCTGGCTATAAAGTGCTCAACACTTGATAAGCCTCCAAGTTTTTTATTTTTCTAACTTTTGTATTATGTATTTTTTAAAATAATTTCAAAGCTGTACTTTTGCACAATCCAAGAAGCCCCAAGAGCTGCAAAATTCAGACATATAACTTTTTTTTTAGACCTAAACCTGAACAAAATAAAACACTCCAAATTTTGAGGTGTGGTTGTTGAATCACAGCAGGATTTAAAAATCACAGATTCGGCCAGACACACGAGTATAAAAATAAAAACTGATGAAGGCCTAGCATTAACACGCAGTCAGCTTTTTTCTTTGAAAAAAGGGATTTTTGTCTTCAATTGTAAATAAATCTCCAGCAGTGAAGATGGGATATTCTGGGGAGAGAAGTGCCAGATTTGCCTATTTTTCTACTTTGGCAGGTAAGAGTTTATACGCTTTTGAAAGGCTAAATTTTCAGACAATCACTGAAACATGTCGCAATAATTATTGATTATTATTATTGAAATTTGAATATGTATGTGCCTTATTCTCTCAAGAAACATTCAAAAATCAAAATTTATGGTAAAAAAAATTGACCACAAATATGTAGGTAGTATGCAATTTTAGAATAGAAGTACATCATTTAACATTGTGGAAGCTGTAAAAACGAACCATAAGCTGTCTATAAGTGTTGAAATCGCATTAAACTCAAACTGATTCAAGTCCTTCTTTTCATTTATGGATTTTTGTGGGAATGACTGTAGAAAAAAAAAATAGATGAGTACATTTTTACCCATACATATGTTTTTCTCCATATAACTGTTTCAGTAATAATTGATTTCATTCTTTATGTTTGACCAGTTTTTTTCGGTAAATCCTAGTTTAACTAAACTAAGTTTTTCATTTTCAGCGTCAATAACTGCCTTTGCCACAGGTATGTGCTACGCATGGACCTCGCCGATCCTACCAAAACTCCAATCATCAGATTCAGATTTAAACCCACTTGCTGAGCCTGTCAGCACATCGGAATCTGCTTGGATAGTGGCAGCCATGAGCTTAGGGTTACTATGTGGACCAGCTCTAACAATTTTTTCACTTAAATTCTACACCAAGAAAATCGCATTGCTTCTGTCAATAGCACCGATTTTTGTAGCGCATGCCATGTGTTTAGTGATATTTAAACCAAATATAATTATTTTGGCAAGATTTTTTATGGGTGTGGGTACTGGAGCCGTTTGGTCAGTCCTTGGAGGCTTTATAGCTGAAATTTCCGAAGATAAAAATCGAGGACTACTAGGCAGCATTCCTGGTGTTATGTCGAATCTTGGAGGCTTATTGGTTTTCGTTGTTGGACCTGTGATACAAATAAGATACTTTACCTTAGTGCTTCTGGGTCCACTTATGATATTTTATATATTATTTGGCTTTTTCGTTCCTGACAGTCCTTATGATTTGCTTGTTGGCAATAGACATGAAGAAGCTGAAATGAGCTTGAAGAAATTGAGAGGCAGTAACAATGTTGAGAAGGAATTGGCATTTATGAAGGATACTATTGACTCTACAGATGAAGATAGAGTCACTTTATCAGCTTTCTTTAAAGAGCGTGGGTTAAGAAAAGCTCTTATGATTTGCGTTGTCCTAATGGTATTTCAACAATTATCAGGAATCTTGGCTGTAGTAAGTTATGCTCAAACTATTTTTAGTCTTGCGGGTGACTCTATTTCTTCAACACTTTCTGTTATTCTATTGGGCATAGTTGGAACTGTAGCAAATATCATAAGTTCGATTTTAGTAGATAAAATGGGAAGAAAAATGCTGTTAACTAGTTCTTGTATAGCAGAAGCACTGTCTTTATTCACTTTGGGAGTATATTTTTACATGCTCAAAGCTGGAGTGGATGTATCGGCTTTATCATGGGTACCTATTGCAAGTCTTATGGTCTTTATGGCTTTCTTCAATATTGGTTTGGGAATTGTTCCTTGGATAGTAGCCGGAGAACTGTTTCATACCAGCGTGAAAGCCATTGCTTCAACTGCAATATCACTGTCCAATTTTTTAACTTCTTTTCTAGTCACAATAGCCTTTCCCTATATGGTAGGAAATTTAGGTATGGGTTGGACTTTCATGACATTTGCCATGACTATGATACTTGGGGCGATTTTTTGCCTACTGGTTTTGCCTGAGACGAAAGGTAAAAACTTCCAGGATATACAAAAGTTGTTGAAGGAGTGAGCTAGAGGGATGTTTTAATTCCAGATCAAAAAAAAATTGTGATATTTTGATTATTGTGAATATTATTTATTGTTCCTATATTATATCATTAGTGATTTTAAGATTGTTTTAATTTTTTTTCCGAAGAAACCATCGAACGTCTCTTATTATAGACCAATCTCCTCTGACCCTGCTTTTCCCTTCAAATATTTATTCCTATTCCTTCAGCATTTAAAATTTGGCGCAGCATAATATCTGTATTCCTTGACTGTAATAATTTCCTTACAGTTTTCTATGAAACTGCTCGAATTTAACAGGAATTTAATTCAATGCAATTATTTTGCGAAAGTTATTTATTTACTTTCTGTTGCCAAATATTTAAAAGCTATTGTTTAAAAAAATACATCCTAAATTTAATAAATACACGAATATCCTTCCTCCAGTCTAATAATGCTTGTTAAAATAAACATAATTATATCAAAATTCTGTTGGTGGTGTCATGTGTATGAAATTTGCCTAAACAAAACGTGCTATTTGTATTTAAAGCTTCAAAATGTTTCCACTAATGCTTTCAGTTGGCGAAATTTCTTGTCTTATTGTCATACGCGACCCTATAACAGTGTTGATATAATTTTATTTTGAACTAGACAAAGTTTTATTTATGATTCTATACTAGGTCCTAAATATTTTATTCAAGTGAAAGTGTGTGACATTAATTTCAACTAATTTTCTGCTCCCTTACACCGCATATAGGCTCTATTCGCTCCAGGGTGCACTTGTATACGATAATCTAGCTCGTTGAGAATGGCAGCTACTGATAAAAGATCGAAATTTAAACGTGGTTTGGGTACTGTCGACGAAGATTTTTACTTATTGGCTAATGCTGCCGCTTCATCCTTATTCCTTATTATGGCGTAGTTCCGACACTATCACTTGCATCAATAACCAGCTAACGATCACGACCTAAGTCAGTAAGTTTTCGATATCACAGAATAAGATGGTGAATACTGAATTTCTATGGTACATTCAACATTCTTTATTTTATTTGGTAAGTAATTGGGTATTTATTGATTGGTTACCTTTGTAGATCCTAAGTAGAATCGCACCTGGATATATACTTCTTTTTTTTTAGAATATAAATTGAACTTCTTCTGGTAGGTATGTTATTTTGAGATTATCCAATACAAGGCTCAATTTCTATTAAAAAGATTTTCCATTGTTTTTTCTTGTACTGTTAATGGAGCTGAGCTGTTTCAAGCAAGTGCATTTTTCTCAACGATATTCTGTGATCTATACAGTCAAAGAGTCAAAGGCTTTAGAAAAATTGCAGCCTCAAGCCCCAATTAAAGGTTTTTTGAACAGCCGACACTTGCACAGTAACGACGCCTGATAATTAGTCTGATGGAGATAAATGGCAAAGGGGGCTTGGAGGCTCTTCCCCCGTGAAGCCAGCATCCCACGACGCGTGACTTGACAACAATTATTTTTTTTTTAAAGGAAAAATAAAATTATATTGTAATCGTAACTTTTCTCTTGATTATTCTATTTTCCTGGGGGGATAAGTACCTCCATTACCGACGCCTCTGCAACTGCATCTACAGTGATAACCCCTGAGTTCATCACAATTCCAAAAAAAACACTTGGAATGTCCATATACAGAAACAAACCAAACCAAAATTAGCAACTTTTTTTTGTTCTCAGTCAACCAGTTGTCATCCATTTTCAAACAACCTCATTAACTGAACCATTTCATGATTCAGTGCTTTTAAATCCTCAAGCTGTTGCTTCATCTCATCATATTCTAAACTAGTTTCTTCAATTTCTTCCAGAGCTTTTCCTTCCCTTTCTATATTTGTACTGATTGATTGATTTGAAAAAGGAGCCTTTACAGGCAGCACGTAGACGCACATGTGGTTCATTGTGCTATCCCCCTCCTGGTGCAGCCTTGTCTTACCTTAGGAGCCTGCAACTTTTAAGAAAGATGCAAACCCGCTCAGTTCGGTCATGCTTCATTTTATCAGGTTGCAGAAACCTGTATCCAAGGTATCGTAGTCTGCGACTGACAAGGGGGCGTCACATTCCCAGACTATATGCTTATGCTTGGTAGTTTCATCTACTTCGCTGCAGAACCTGCATTCCGTCCCATCGCTGGATCCGATAATGTACAGGTGGTATCTGACCACCCAGTGTCTCGTCAGGACAACTGTGATGGCTCCTAGTTGGCTCCTGTTTAGTTTTGTGAGACTTTTTGCCTCTTTGCAGTTTGAAGGACCTTGTATAAAGATCCTTGACTGTCTGAGGCCTCCCTGTTCCAGCCATTTGTCTTGGAACCGGTTGTTGGACTGGTTCCTTGGTTTTCACCAGGCAGGAAGCAACTCCAAGAGCAGTCTTGGGCCCAATAAAGGTAATGTTGCTACCTTCAAAAGCCAGCTGGTCCGCCTCCTCCTTTCCTTTTGACCCGGGACCCAAACAAGGGTGAGCCTTGAGTTGACCTTGTATGAGCCAAGGGTTTGGAGTGCTGACTGTCGCTGCACATAAAAATATGCTTGTTCGAGTCATCTCTCTGCAGCACATGCCTGTATGGCGTAGATCTTAGTCTGGTACCTATACCATTGGGTATCGACCTAGTCCAAGAATAATTCTCGCGACAGGTCTCTCAACATACAAACCAGTCCCTGCACCCTCCCCCATCAGAGACCCGTCTGTGTACCAGATGGGTTTGAGGAAGCCTGGGTCGGGCTCTAGCCAGTCGTCCCTTGCAGGGATGATGACGTTGTATTGTCTAGGGGACATTGAAGTTTTTGGCATTGCAACCCTTCTGGTGAGAAGGGGGTCCTGCCCAATGGTATCAGTCCAGGCCCTTGCATGTCCCATCTGTCCCCAATCGTTGAGTCTGACAAAAGCCTCCCTGGCCCGTGCCTCCACAAAGAGATGGAGAGGCATTATTCGCAGAATGGTCTTTATCGGCAGCGTTGGGGTGGTTCTAAAGGCTCCAATTGTAGGCATGCAGACAAGTCGTTAGAGCTTGTCCAGCTTTCCCCCTTGAGAGCCCGATTGTAAGATCTCTCCTTGTGGAGAGCCCTTCAAAGATTTATTTGTGCCTATGTCCATGTAAATCCCACGAGTAGTCCGAAACTATAGCTCCGCCCACACAGCGCTGGTTTGTTTGGGTAAGGCTAAATACTCTGGAAGCGCGCCTGGTATCCTTTTTTTTATAGTAGGGGTTGGAAATGCATTATGCACGCCTAGGGCATTGGTTTTCTGGCGCCCTAGGGAGTGTGAGACTCTCACCCACTAAAACCCTTCCCCTTCTCTTCGCAGGCCCCACTCCCGGGACCACTTTTCAATATTACTTCAGGAGGGGCTGCGGACAATTTGTCTTCTTGTAGGCAAAAACGTATCATGCACTTTCATTCTCTCGTTTCCTTTCCTCTTCCGCCTTTAATTTCATAATTCTGCGTAGCATCTCTATGATGCTCTTCCAGTTACTTTCGCTCTGCAGTAGCAGTTCTGCTATGTTGTTCTTATCTATTCTTACTCCACATTTCAGTTCTGCAATCAGTTTCGTTCTCTCAAAATTATCACAGATAAATAGTGTGTGTTCTGGCGTGTCTTCTTCGGCACAGAACCAGCTCGTCCACTGCTTCTTTATTTCCTTCAGATAGGACCCAAAAACTCCATGACCAGTGATGGCCTGCGTTAAGTGGAAGTCAGTTTCCGTCCACTTTGTTTGGCACCATAGCTTGATGTCCTCTATGAAATTTGCTGCCCATCCTTCATATGTCTGCCATTTCTCCTGCCGCCGCTCCATCAAATCTTCCCTTGCAGCATTATTCGCATTTTGCTCTTCCTGTGTATCTCTGTCCTTTCTTGTGCCAGCAAGTCATTAAGTCAATTGGGGGCAGTTTCGCAACAGCTTCAATTACTCCTCCTGACACCGTTCTGTATCCTGAGGCCAGCGCAATAGCCAGTCTTCTGTTTACGCTTTCCAGCATACTTCTATATTTTTCAAATCTTATTGCATTTATCCAGGTTGGGGCTGCGTACAGGGCAGCTGATATTACTGCTGTGGCCATAATTCTTCTTTTGCAAATTTTTGCTCCTCCTACCCTTGGCATTATTCTATACAGAAGGTTCATCATCTTGTTGCCCTTTTCAGCTGTGTATTTTATGTGAGTCGTCATGCGGAGGTCTCTATCAAAGAACACTCCTAGCAGGTATCTAACTGATTTGGATGTCTTCACACTAGCCTCTCCCACGGTCACTTCTATCTCCTTTATTCGCCTTTTGCCTGCCAGTAGCAAGGCCTCCGTCTTTTCCGGAGCTATGGCTATGCTCATTTCAGCCAATTCCTGTTACTTGCCTTAGTGCGAGTTCCGCTTTGCCTTTCGATTGTTGTTTTGTCTTTGCTATTACGATAATGGCTAAGTCATCCGCCTAAGCGACCAAGTCAATTCCTTTTTCCTTTATAATCTGAAGAATTCTGTTGTGGAAGGCATTCCATAGAATCGGTCCCAGAACTGATCCCTGTGGTACTCCACAAGTGATTTCGTACACGTCCCCGTTCGTGGTTGTGATTGTTCTTTCCGAGAGATATGACTGTGTTACTCTAATCAGGTATTTCGATATGCCCCCCTTCTTCAATGCGTTCACTATTTCCTTCCAAGGAGCGCTGTTGAAAGCGTTCTTTATATCTAATAGATCAGACATATCTCCCTGTTTTTGTATGCTTCCTGTGTTATCTGCTCCCTGATCTCCTGTATTCTTTCTCGTAGACTTGCTCTTGATATAACCGTATTGGTCTGCGTGATTCATGTCTTTCTCTTGGAACTCCCTCTGCATCCTTATCTTTATCAACATTTCCAGCAGTTTGCCTATAGTATCGCGTGAGGCATAAAGGTCTAAACGCAAGTAATCCCATCGGGTCTTTTTTCGGTTTCTCATTCGAAACTTAATTGTCATTCTTCCATATTCCAAGAAATTCCCCTTTCTTAAGGCAGCTGTTGAAAACTTTCAGAAATATATTTTGATTGGCATCGACATCCGCCATTAGTAGCTCTGGATTTATTCCGTCCGGCTCTGGAGCCCTTTTCTTCTTCATCATTCCAATTGCTTCTTTGAGCTCCGCCGCATTTTCTGGTACCGTCTCCATTTCGTGCCTTACT